GAAGCAGGTTTGTCTTTTAAGGGGGAAAATGTGAAAGGTAATTATTTTAAACACAATATTATTTCCTTTTTATCCAAATTACAGAAACCAAAACATGACCAGAATTTACACCATTATGAACAGCTTAACAAATGTCTAGCACCAGGTCAACTGGTCAAAACAAGTAGCAAGTTTCCCCATAACGTAACAGTAATGTCAACACCATTAACTCCACTACTTGTGTGATACCTGCCAGAAAACCTACATTTGTAAAAACACTCCATATGAACACTAGAATCCATGACCATATAGGGGATTTTATTCAGAAGACAACAAAATCTATAATCATAGTAATTCTGCAATTCATTCTTACTGTCAAAATAAACTTTCTTTCAGAAGATAGTTGCAAAATGAAACAGCTGATTAAAGAAATCATCCTTGTTAACAAAAATATTTCCTAACTAAATATATCAGCAAACTTGTTTCAATTAACCTTACCATTAGTCCCATCCTGTATTATTTATGGTTTTAATTAAAACTATGGGTGATTTTTCCCCATCATTTTCTTCGTTTTAATTTAGTTGTAAGATACAGATGAAATATACCTATTCCAAAGTGTCTAAGTACTTTTTTTCATTCATCTGTAAACAAACATGCAATACACATCTGTGGTCTTTCTGATTTTGATATGATCCATTTAAAAGTAAATTAGTCCAGAAATTCAAATTATAATTTAAAGAAATGCATCACTTGTTATAATGATGTGTTCTGTGGGTTCCTAGTACACAAGTAAAACTTCAAAGGGTCACCCAGACAATTACATCAATAATCCTAACAAGGTAGATTGTGAGAAAAAAAAGGAGAAAGTATTCATTACTAATTTTTTATGTGTTTCACAAAAAAAAAAATGGAGGATCCACCAAGTGATAATCTGGAACATGAAGCGTACCTAGCCAAACACACACAAGCGAAAATAGTAAATTAAGTCAGTGCTACATATGACAGACTCCACAGACCGAATATTCCCATGCAAAAGGTATTCTACTATTACCATTCCATTTTGCTATTATAACTATTGTTGTATTTTGTGAAACATGTTTTATAATGCTGTTCTGTACACAGAGAATTTTGTGTAATTAAGTTCAACACAAACAAAACAATATAGTACAATAACAGATAAACAGTTTGTTTCAATTTAATTAAAATCTGGTTAATATTTTCATTGAGTCATACATTAATTAAAATCTGAAAGAGGACAGGGTTTGAACCATAATAAATTATTTATACCAGGTTTAGGAAGAATTAACGCCACAAATAGTTTTCACTTAACTTGTTAGTAAAGACACACAAACACAAACAAAAAGTACTTCTGAGTAATGACAAGCAGTTTTTGTGTTGAAAAAAAAAATTTTTAAACTTCATTTGCCATTTAAATAAAAATGGATATCAAGCTTTACATCAACTGAACATTATTCACAAATACTGCCATTACACTCTTACAGTCAATGAACTGATAAGTTTGCAACATTCATTATCTGTAGCTAATAAAAAAATACACAAGCAGTGTTGACTTTAAATGTTGCCTAACTTAATCTAAATTTTTCAGAAAAACTAATGCTGCTTCATGTGCCAAGTAACCATACAAACATTATTAACTTCCCCAACCAGTCATGACTAGGTTGATGTAGTGGCATAGGAAACTTTTCAACAAGTTGAAAAACAGGATGTTCAAGTTTTTTTCAAACTTCCAAAGATGGATGTTTTGTATTTAACATTCCATTTCAGTTAATACTTCATACTGGTAAATTAATTGCACCCATTTTAACATTAGTGCAACACATTATTGAATATCTGGCACTACAGAATTAAAAATATTTAGATGAACCTAAATTCTTTATTGGCTACCAAATTACAAAATATAGGAGTCAGATATCCCTAAGGGTTTTGTCTACCTCTGAGCTCTGATATATAAAATAGCATGATCAGTTACAAACTGAAATAATGTAAAGAGCAGCAAGTTATGTTAAACACATTTCAAGTGACAGTAATAAGAATGTGTAATATATTACTAAAATGAACCATATTAAAGAGCTGTAGTAGACAATGGTCAGTAATCTGACATAAGACATAATTTATGTTCCACCAACAAGATTACATACAACCTCCAAATTACACATTTGCAGCTTTTATACACTTAAAAGGCAACATATCCTTAAACCACTATTATATTAGTAAAACTATAGCTGCTTTATTTGGAGTTTACAGTTGTATGAGTGTTCTATATCTTAGACTTGTGTTCTATAGAAACTACCTGTAGTTTATGAGAACATTTGGATTTACAGAATCCAACACTACAACAATCTTAAAACCTAAATCACGTTCTCCCAAGCCTATGAAAATCCCGCCAAAAAGTTTCAAACTACCCCACACCCACCTAGAATTATTCTCTTACCTAGACTACACCAACTCAATGTCCCTTCC